GATGTGCCCAGTGGGGCAGCCTGTGGTGGGTGGAGATGCGGTGGCAGGGAATTGACTGGGGTGCATGGGTGTGGGTTGAGGATGTTCGGTAGGAGTTGCAGTGGGCGCAACCACCGGTGGGGGAGTTGGCCAGTAAGACTACGGGGAGACGATCATGGTTGGTGGAGTCCAAGTGGGAGTGGGTTCTGGTTGGTGGAATGGATGTAGGGTGGGAAACGTGGGAGGGATCTGAACGATCTGTGCAGTGGGCATAGTACTCCTCAATTTGAGGTGACAAACTCGCTGGCGGCAAAGTTGAAGCGTAGTGAAGCTGTGGGTGATGTAGAGATGGCTGAACCTGAGGCACAGGGACCTGCATGTTTGGAAACGATCCATAAGGAGCCGAAGGTGCCGTCAATGAGGTCGGGTGTGGAAGAGGACCATAAGGTGTCGGTGTACTCGTCATCGGGGAGGACTGAGGAAACCACTGGGCGGTGGAGAACAGTCGGATGGATGCTGAGTGACAAAAGGTAGTGCAATCGCATGGACCTTGTACCGTGCCTGAAGTACTGTGCTGGATCCTGCCTGTGATTACTTAGACGGATAATCTGTACAAATGAATACTTAGACGCATGTTTCCATGATGGTGCAAATCCAGAGTTTGGATCACAGTGAGCCCTGCGGCATAGAATCAGTGGTATCGTGCAGAACGAGCGATCAATGGGAGTTCAGAGTGAAGTTCCAGTGCAAGGACGAAGCAATCAGAGTGGGTCCCCCAAAATCTGGGTTTGTGCACATGCAGCGCCCCTTGACAGGGATCACACCACAGCCCTCAGTGGGAATGTGTGGCGAAAACACACTTAGATTGTTGCTCGCAAGAGCTAGGATCAGTATGAAGTTCCACTTTACAGGTATTAGACCTTGACTGGACAAGAATGCAAACAGAAAGGCGGCAAGTCCGAGAATTTGAAGATGTTGAACAGTTTTGTTCAAACCTGGGTGAAACGTGATGAGTCGGTGTTAAAATTGGCAGGTACACAGTCAGACGTCTCCGACTGCTTCCCATGACATCACTAGCTTCGTTGGCCAGCGTCGTGATGTCATGCGCTGGCCCCCTGCTGCGTTGAAGTAAAAGCTAATGAGGAAGTATCACGAAGCTGTCTGATTGAACCTTACGACAGGACAGCCTAGCGCGCATAAAAGAGCACACATGGGAGAGCACACACATGAGAGCGCACATGTAGAGCACGCAAGAGCGTGCGTGTGAAAACAAGGTATGAGAGCACATGCTTGCAGTTCGAGGTTCGCAATGTGCCGCATCTGCCACGAAGATTGCACTTTGAGGTTCGCAGATTGCTCTGCCTGGCGCGAAGACTGCGCTTCGAAGTTTACAAAGTGCCGCGCCTGTCGCGCAGTCCAGGTTTACAAAGTGCTGCGTTCGTAACAAAATCTGCATTTCGACGTCTACAAAGTGTGCGCCTGCCACGAAATCTGCACTTCGAGACTTAGAGGTTCACGAAAGTTCTGCCACTTCCATGAAATCTGCACTGCAGGCAGGCACGAAATCTGCGGAGGGAGGTTCACAAAGTGTTGCGCTTGCCCCGACATATCTGGATTTGGTGGTCCACAAAGTGCTGCGTCTCCCACGAAGTCTGCGCATCAAGATTCAAATCGTGAAACCCTCCCACTGCGTTCGCCTCAAGAGCACCTCAAAAAACAAGTTCCAAATGCCAAAATATCCAAAATGAAGTTTTGTCCTGATACTTCTCCCGGGTTCTGAAAACGAACCACATTTACAAAGTTCAGGATTCACCGCACTTGCCAGTCAGAGAATGCCAAAGCCACCTGCACGTCGAAGTAAAAGGGTTCCGATCCCCTGCGCCTGCCACGAAGTCGACTTCAGACCACCGAAGCATGAGGATTCCTTTGTGTGTGCCACGAACAGTGACCATCAATCCGAACATGTGCACGGCACCACACCGGAAAGCACCCGCTCTGGCCCAGCAGCTTGTGTGAGCCTGTGCCGGAAGAACCCCCTAGTGTGTCCACACTGTTTCGGGAATCACAGATGTCTTTTCTTTAGCCTGATGCGATCAATTTGGCCTCTTGAATCTCTTTTCTCTCCTTTAGAATCTTTTTGATGATCCTCAACTATCAACAGGCAAACAAGTGGTTCTTGCTTGTTTGCTGTGGGTGAAGTGGCCGGATATTGCTAGATGGGACCAACAGAAACTGGTCAAAGGAACGTGGGATACAAAACCTCCACGGCAACAATAGTTTGTGTGTGTGAAACTGTTTAAGGTTTTGGCTGGTTCAGTCATTGATAGGAAAAAAACAGTAGTTGGGCAGTTGGTCAACTCCAAAAAAGGTCGGTCGTGGCCGTACTCAGCCATGTAGCACCTAGCCGTAGACTTAACGAAGCTTGCCCTGCCAAGTCCGCCTTTGCCTAGATGGGCCACTCTGTTTTTGCAGGCGTGGCTCAACACCTACTCCTGGGGCATCACTACAGACGTGCAGTTCCTTATCCCAGACCAACAATCTCCAGTTTGAGAGCTCGCACAAAGCGCGCTTTCTTGGCGCACGGTGAAAGGCCGTGGCGCAAACACCTGATTGAGGCAGTGGCTCGAAATCTTAGCCTCTTTGAAACAAGAGAAGGGCAGAAACGTTGCGATTTTACCCTGAGTCTGCAAAAGACCATGAATTTGAGCCAGAGACCTCCACGACGATTCTTTTTTGAGGGGAATATGTATAGGGCTCATTGCCGCACCTTCTTTGGCGGCGTTGCATGGAGTCGGATGCGGGTCCGGATCTCAAAGGATCCATCGAAGATGGTCCGCCCACGTAATGTTTTGGAACTCCGTGACCCACCAGTCAACAGGATGTGAAAGCCGCCAACCATTGGCAGCCCGATCTTTGGTTTCATCCCCTGGCCTGAGTTTTGAACTGCGTTTGAAAGGAAAGCTGCTGAGAAAAACCTGATCCAGGTTCTCTTTTGAGATCACTTGCCCCCCTTGTGGTTGCCAGACTGGAGACGTGTTAGTCAGGTGTTGTTGCAAGAACCCGGCAGGTTGGCTGGTTTCATTCAACTTGTGATGTTTAGATTTACCTGTTCATTAGGTCGCATTACATGTTCATTATATAATTGATCCAATAATGTTGGAGTTGTAGTGGTTGCGAAGTCAGCAACCCCCCCTACAAATCCAACCATGAATTGAAATGATCTCCCCTGATGCGTGGTCGATGTAGGATTGTCGCATGCATTCGCGGCATGACACATGCTGTTTGTTTTCCTTGCTGTACAGCAATGTTATTGCGTACACGCAAAAAACACAGCAGAAGACCAATACTATCATGAACCAAGGCGGAAGTCCAAGTAGCGGAAGTCCAAGGGACCAACCGTGTCGAGGTTCGGGTTGGTTCCTGCGAGGGACCGACCGTGTCTGTGGAGGTTTGATATGGTTTTGCATGGTTCCCTTCCGGTTGTTTTCTTTTTGACTGTGACCATCCAGCTTGAGTCCTTCACATGATATTTTTTCCTCAGCATCCAGCTTGAGTGCTGAGATGACCTGACCGCACCCGCTCCAGCACTGTGAGTGATACTGGTGTTCAAATGACCACAGATACCCTTCTGGGCGCCAAATCCCCTGCGACGGCGATTGGGATTTTCAGCATGGTGAAAGGCTGGTGAAGATGATGGTGACGAGGCTTCCTGGACTGAACGTTTCAATCAGCAGGTTTGTGGGCATTCGAAGGATGTGGTTCATGCAACCTTGACAGACACCTTTGCAGAAGTTGTTCTTGCCAGTTGCTTGACCGTACCATGGATCAAGTGAGACTGTGCGAGGTGGTGGAATGTCTGAAAGAGCTCCCCATCGCAGGGTTTGATTCACTGATTTTGTAGGGCCGCAACAGCAGATGACAAGAAGCGGCGACTAATGGCTAGGAGGCTGTCCATGTAGCAGGAAAATCTTAGCAGCATGATCGGTTTTGACCAGTTGGCTGCAGCTGCTTTCAGGCCAGCGGATAAGCTACTAGCCTTGCTTTCAATAGGGTTGAGACGTTGATTCCGGGTGTCTGGACGACTGGATGAGACCTTGTCGTGTCGATGGTCCACGTTCAGCCAAGCCAGGCCCAAGCCAGACCGCATGTTGGAGCCCGGCGCTCGGTGGACATGGCCGGTATATTTATTCAGGAGAGGGGTTTTACATGGAGCGCCCCCGCCATGAGGGCAAGTTTCAACAAGGATGGACACTAAACACATCTTTTGGTAAGAGGGTACTTGAGCCACCTCATCCCTGCAGAGCCTCCAGATTTCCAAGCAACAAGATTTCTTGCTCGGCTACACTGTAGCGGCTACACAGATGTTGCCTCAACATCTCATCAGCTAAGCTGAGTAGAGCGAGTCATCCAAGTCGACATGGCGGGGTTTCGCAACTGATCAGTGCCAATAGCTATCCTAAGCAGAGCACAATATAGTTCTTATATTTCAAGACCCGAATTCACGATTGCCAACATACGTGCGAGTGGTCCAGCCCGAGGCGGGGGGCAGAAAGCTGGCAACATACGGAGATATACTGTGTACATCTGTATACGGTGGGAGGGGCATGTGTTCAGAGGTCAACACATCTTCTAACCCTCTAACCGGGTTTCTCGTTACCAGGCCTTACACAAATGCTCGGTCTGCTTACCCTGGACGGTCGTAACAGACCGGTGGATCAGCCCGTTGTCGATGTCTCACTGACGGATCTTGGTTTCAGGGTTTACCTCCAGCTCAGGCGACCTGGAAATATGGGCAGATCTGACATGTCATAACTAGCATGACATAGGGAGCAGACAAGGTGCAGTTACGATATGTTACAATGCACTTGGCTAGTTGTGGTTATATAGTTGTGAGCCCTCTCACCGTGGAGCATACTTAAACTGAAGAATCTTCAGTTGTCAATCTCACTGAAGAACGAGTGATCGTTTAGACCAGTGTCGAGCCTTATGCCATCCTTAGATAACATGTATTCATGTGAGTCGGAGTGTGCAGACGTCATCTCCCAGCAGCCCTGTGCTGCTTGGTTTCCATGGCGACACCGCAACATGGGCCGGCGCGGTACGCGGCGGCTCGGGTAGCTCTGGTGGCGGAGCTTCTGGTTTACCCAGAGGTTCGGTCCTTGGGGCAGAAAGCTTTTGGAACCTGGGCAGAGTCAAAGAAGTTTTCGGAATTTTCTGAGGGCTGTGTCAAAGCTGATGAGAGTGGGCAAGATTTCTTCCCCCCCATTTTTAGGGGAAATGGGAAAGAAGGATTGATTCAATGATGATTCATCCACTGGGGACTATCTCGACCAAGGTGACTTGAGAAAGGCGGACCTGGCGCTGCGAAAGGCGCAGCTCTTGAAGCTTCGCGACGGTGAGGTGAGCCGGAAACGAGGAAACGCGAAGGCTGTGGCCGTGTAAACGGTGTGGGTCAGCTTTTCTGATTGGTTTTCATATGCAGAAAACCAAATGGAATAGATCAGTCTACTCGACGCAATCGGATGGTCCTACGAGTGATCCCAAAGCTCAGTCAGAGCCCTTAGATCCCTCATCTGTGCTGAAAAGGAGCGAAAGGCTTAAGGGTGATTCGTAGGAACAGATTCCTTGCAGAACAGCATTTCCCCATCTCTTAGATAAACGTCCAAAGCACCAGTCAGCCCACTCGAAGTTGCTTGGCTCAAATGACGGGAGCTGGCGGAGTTCTACAATGTTTCATCAAATGGTGGGGGATGGTGAGGGTTTCCTACTTGAGCACATCAATTTGCACACTTCAGATCCCACCCGGCATCTGCCGGAGTGCGCGTGCCGGAGTGCACGTGCCCAGGTGGACTTGGAGCTTCTCTTCCCTCCTGATGACCCAGAGGCAGCCTCCGAGTGCTCTCAAACCTTTGCCTCCGATGCCTATGGCCTCCGCCGCTGGGCGCGACAGGATTCGCAGGATGCTGGTGCAGCCGAGGAAGGACTGGAAGGAGAGGGCCTGGGCGGTTTAGGCCAGCCTGCTGTGGTGGACGTTGGTGCCAACGTGGGGTGTTGGAGCATCTTTGCTGCCAAAGTCATGAAGGCGCAGGCGTGGTGGGCTGGGGACTTGAGCGGTGCACCCTGACCGATTGTTTCATGGGGCAATATGGGGTATTTGCAAAATTTGGAAACAGCCTTAGTTCTACTTCCAGTTGGTGAGATGTTGTGGGATGCCATTTCGAGTTTGTATCTTTTCCTCCTTGAGCTTTTTCTCCCTCTCTCTCAAGTCGCGACGCGGAAAACAACAACTTTGCAAGCTTTCCTTCAACCAAGGCTGAATTCTCTTGGCATCGGGTTCATGTTGACCTGGACAGCTACGCTACGTAGCGGCGTAGCTGGATCGAACACAAGAAAAACCACGGATGAGTGAACTCTTCTACACAGTGACTTCATGTTACTTGTGCTTGCTCCGGGTGCCTCCAAACCTGGGGGAGGCCTAACCTGGGGCGCCTCGTACCGAGCAGGTCGTGGCTGTGGAGCCCAGCCGGCACGCTGCCTTCTACCTCGCGTGCAACGTGCGGCTGAACCGGATCGAGCCGCAGGTGACCGGGACGCAGCGTGATGATCCGTTCCAACCGGTTGAGGGACGCAGCGTGACGCAGTGATGGACCAACCAGATGGGCTGAATGTACAGCTTGAAGGGGTTTCAGTTTCAACCAAGACCCATGTGAGAGATGATCAGTGAAAATAGCCATTCTCTGAAAGCTAGGATAAGACATGAACACAGAGCCACTTCTTTTACACGCCAGTTGTGAACGGGTTTCGTATCAGTTTCCGGCTGTGTCGTCCATGGATGATTGGGGAGCGGAGGGAAAAGAGCCGTTCCTTCCGATCTCTACTGCCAGCTGACACTTCTGGGGGGATCAGTTGATCCCCCACTGCAATGGCTGCTGAAACTCCCATTGCATACTCTGTGGGCTGTGGGGTAATTTGACATCATGGAAGGGGTGACCTTACAATAAAAAGTATTCAACGCAAGGTTATTGCTATTGTTCATACTGACCCGGAGGGGAAATATTTGTAGTGGCTTAGGTACGATGTATAACCCACCATACTTGATAACGAATCACTACGGATCACTGAGTCAGAACAAGCTTGCAGCCTGCGCCCCACCAACTTTTTGACCCAGTCTTCCTCATGCTTTGTCACCTCAGGTGACTCTCATGAACGCTGCCATGGTTCCAAGAGACTGCACGGGCCAAATGCAGGTCTTCTGTAATCCAGGAACATCTGATGTGCAGGGAGGCTCCGTCCTTGACATGCTACACCAATCCTGCAACGACGATGAGGATCATGATGTGGTGGAAGGCGAGAAGGTTTCGGATCAAGCCCATGGGTTCGTTGTATCCCGGACGAACACCACATCTCGACTGGGAAACCCGTGATCAACCACGACTAGGACTTACAAGAGGGCAAGACTCATTCTAGGTGTAGACATAGACATAGACTTTGTGTACTGTAGACATTCCAGGTTTAGAGACCCATTCAAATTGACTACCACAGCCTTCGAGGTGTTGATCTCGAGTCTCTGTTGGAGAAGACTCGATCTTCGACGCATCGACTCTACCTGCGGATGAACTGCGAGGGCTGCGAAGTTTGGACCCTGGGTGAGCTCGGCCCAGGGACTTTACGGGGGATTGCCAAGATCTCCGTCGAAGCCTTTGGACATGAAGCTTGGATCACAGAAGAAAGTCCACTGCAGGGAACTGTCTTTGAACTGGACAGACATGGAAAGTTTGAGAATTAGGGGTGGACATGAAAGCTTGTGTGCCCTCAGGGGGATTCCTAGAGTTATTCTTGCGAAACACGGAACCGGGGTCGCCGGGGTTGAATGGTTGATTCATCCATTCTTTCCTGTTCGAACATGGAACTGCAGCGGATTTGCATGGATTTGCAACACTTGGATCAGCAGATCGTCGAATCATCGGATCAGTGGACCATCAGATCGATCGAACCTGCCACGGTTGCGATTCTCCCATCCTCGGCTCGATGAACCATCGGCGATCCATCCGATCGACCGTCGGAGCGGATCATTGGATTGTCGGGTCAGCGGATCATCAGGGGAGCACCGTTGTCCGGGTGTCATACTGTATCGTTGGCGCTCATTATTTACTGGGAAAGGTTCCCCCCTCTTTATTAGCCGCTTCTTCGCTCGACTCCCCCTACTCTTCTATTGTGTTGGTTGGGTTTTTTGAGTAGCCACGGTTGAACTGCAGCAGCTTAGTTACTTTACAGTTGAGGAGAGCCACGCGCTCTCTTACATGTCTACCGGCAAGCATTTTCTCGCGGCAGCTCGCCCCATACCGAGCTTCCAGAAAATTGTTTCAAGTGACTCACCATCAAGCCTTTTGTGGTAAACCTACAAATTTCAGTACACCCTGTGCCTGCTGGTGGACCGGAATCGCCGCAGTCCGCCGGAAATCCGTCCATTCAATTTTTAGCTGTGGCTCTTTTTGGGCTCGGGCAGTTTCATCATGCAAAGGTTTTCAAGGGCCTATCGAGACACTCCTGGCCTTGTTCCGCTGGTCATCGTCTTCCCGCAAGTTGTCTTTCAGCGATCCTGTTCACCTCTGGTCGCCACAAGCCGCCTAAGTGCAGTGTAAAGCTCCTTGGCACAAAGCCTTTAAATCTACAGCGCAAAGATATGCAAAGATAACAAGGAACGCTAACCCATACACTATACGTTCTCAAAAGAACAAAACAATTTCCAGACCTGGTTCTAGGCCACGCCCTCCGGCCGTCGTGTCAGAGTTAATTTTGACTGCTGGGGCGCCTGATACACCCTCGCGCACAAACGCGCGCGCACATTTCCTGTTGCTGAAGATCCAGTTCTGGAGCAGTTTGGGGCACTTGCTGCCACCAGTTCTTCAGCACACCTTTGGGATTCCTGCTCGTGCTGAAAACGCTGTGCTTGAGCTGCCGTGATGGCAGCAGGTTTGGCGGGGGCGTCTTTCTGGCGCTCTGGCCGCTGCTGGTGCGGTAGTCATCATTTGCCACCTCAGCGTGCTGACCTCGTAGGCCTGACTTTGGACGCCGCAGCTGCGAAGCAACAGTCTGCCAGCTTGCTCGACCATAGAACAAGTGCCTCAGTGGATGGGTGTGTTAAGTTACAACAGCATAGACTCGAGATAGTGCAAGATTTATTGTGGGCAGCAGTCTGTGGCGGTACCAGCGCCGCTCCAAAGCACGACTGGCCATCTCGGCGCCCTGCAGTGGCACTCTGCAGGGGCACCCTACAGCTGCACCCTGTAGGGGCACCCTGCAGCGGCACCGGTGCCCAAGCTCCATGCTCCAGACTCCCTGCAGCAGCAGCAAAAAGGCTGCAGACAATGCGCACACAGGCCCTATACTTGAAATATGAGCACCAGAAACCCCAGTAGCCCTCGCTATCTGGGAAAAAGGATGCCCCCCAGATAGATAGATAGATAGATAGGTAGATAGGTAGGTAGGTAGGTAGGTAGACAGACAGCCAGCCAGCCAGGCAGGCAGGCAGGCAGACAGACAGACAGACAGACAGACAGATAGACACACAGACAGATAAATAAATAGACATTCGAGTGTGCTCCTTTCTGTTTTTGAGCACGGGGGCTGGTTGTTCATGCAAGTGCCAGCCCAACGAAAAGACTTGCATTGAAGACTGATATCGGATATCGGTGAGGACGCTCACCGACGCACCTTCGTGATGAACGGGGAATTTTCCACTTGGTCCCTGCTTTTCACTAGGTCACTAGAGTTTCGATGTGGAGTAAATGGCAGACTTGCATTTTCGTTCGATGTCCGCGTTCGTCGTGGGACTGAACTCTTGAACTTTAAGACTGCAAGGGTCTTGGGGATGTTTGGACTGTTTTGCCGTTTTGCATACTACCTGGCTTAACTTTGGTTTATCCCCTGAGGCCTCTTCAGGGCTTGGTGCAATCAAATCGAACGCTTAATATTTTGAGTGTGTGTGTGTGCACCTGTGGTTGTCGAGTTGTCATGGTTTTCTTCTGCCACCGTGGGTGCCTCAGCTTATTGATGACCATCGGCCAATGGGTGAAAAAGAGGGGGAGATGCGAAGGAGATTGAACTTGGCTGTTACTTCTCCAAGCTCTTTCTCGGTGACGCCTCTATGTTCACTCCTTCATCCTCTACATCCAAAAACATCGACGCATCTCCTCCCATCCGTTCTAAGGAACCGAAGCACTCGGTGCTGCTGGCACATCCGGCGACGCCGCGAATGCTGCAACTTCTGTGCAGCGATGCCGTGTGGCCCAAAGAGCAGCGGCATGTGGCGCCTGCCCGGCTGTGCAGCGTGAAGGCAAATCAAATCGCGTTGGGGGGGGGCCATCCAATGACTTCGGTATCGGACCTTGGACCTTCAAACGGTATCGGACCTATGCCTCAGTTGACGACCATGAATTTTCATTACATTGATAGACTGGTATGGTCACAATATTTTGCCATACAAACAAATACAAAAACATAGCATGGAATCCATGAATCACCGGGAGGTCAAGTTCCAACTGGATTCAGACACACCAATGAACTGGCCAGTCACTACTTCAAGATTTCTTTGTTTTCTTTGCTTGTAAACTAGTTGAACACCTTAGCCGTTGCTTGGTCAAGTCAGGTAGGCAACCGTTTGGACGTTTTTCGTCGAGCTTGGACCTTCAGTCAAGGAAAGAGCATCATGCGACTGATTGAAGGTTGTCTTGGTGTCTTCGATGGTGTAATACAAGCTGAGGCCAACTTGTCCCAGAACCCACCATTGAGTCCTTGTCATTATCCAGAGGGAATCAAAAACCGTTTGCACTTTGGCCAACGACGATGATCGGTGAATTCGGAATTCAACGATCTGTTTCTGTGTAAAGACTTGACCCGACTCGACCAAAATCGAATCAGAACCTTCAACCTGACTTCACCAGTGCCAGGACGTGGTAACCATATTGAATTCGACAGGCATTTGAAGTGACTTCCCAGAGATCTTGGAAATGCCCGGTTTCTGGGGTTGCCTTCCTCCTCTCTTTGTTTTCAATCTCTCCCTCTTGAGATATCTAGAGGTTGGAGAGTGATACACCCGTCGGAGTGATTTTTGGCTGCTTAAGCGAGGACAGACTCGAGTCGTGCGCAGAGAACAGAAATGGCACGCTCTCGCTGCAAGCTCGGGTCCTGAGGGTTTGGATGAACATTGGGTCCCATAGAATGCACATGTGCCCAATCTGAGTGGACTGAACAGTCGGGCCCAATGAGTTCGGATCCAAGCTGGGGAGTTCGATGCAAGGCTGAAGGGCCCACGCGTCGGGCCCAAGAAGGGCGTTTTTTTCGTTCTCTCTTTCGGAGGTGTTCACAGGCACTGCGGGCTTCTGACCGAGGAAGGTTTTGAGGTTTCGCACTTCGCATTTCGCCACTTTGGGTATGTGTTAATGTTAAATATTGTACAATTGGGAGAACTAGAGATCCTGTAAACTTTTTGGCACTTCGGCAAGCTTTCACAAATGGCCTCCACTGCAGGTCTCATCCTCATCCTCCCACTGCAGAGGCGCAGCGGCGCAACTGGACCAGGATCGTTCAAACCATATTTCACTATTTTCTACATAGTCTTTATGTGGGTACAGTATATATGTCTCAAACATAGGTTATAGCTATAGTTCATTGCTGTTGTTGTGTGTGTTGCCATTCTTTTATTCCTTTTCTTATCGTTGCTGGTGGTTGCGGCCTCCGCGGTCGCGGCAAGTACCTTGGTCGCGGCAAGTACCTTGCAACTGCAGAGGTCAAGAAGCTTTGCTTGAGATCTAACTATATAGGTACGAAATTATGTTTCTCATTTGCAAAGTTGCTTGTATGAATGTAATCTCATTGGGGAAGATCCGTTCAATAATCGAGCATAATTTCATTGGGGAAGATTTGTCATGTGCACTTCCCAGTAGAATTCACACTTCAATAGTCAAGTAGAGTTGCTGGCAAGTATCAATGTGTTTGAGTCTGTCAGAGTTATGGAGGTTTGCATCAGGTGGGAAAAGCACAGTTGCCACAGCAGCTCCTTTTCATTCTTCCCCTTTCAGGCTCCTCATGTTTTCAAAGATGAGTGGAACTGTCGAGGGGTTCTCCACATGACAATGTTCTCCACGTGACATCCACATCATCATTCCAACTCGCCCGCCACAAACCCTCCCCGCTTGAATCACACGTCTGCAGTAATAGATAACATCCATACATCGATGACGATGTTGTGAAATTGATGGACATGTAAACCACAGGTTATCTTGTGAAATCGTTTACTACTCAAGTCCTGTCCAAAAACGCTGGACTTGTTAGGGGTCTTCTCTTGCGAGCAACACCCATGTTGACAAGGGTTTGGTTTCCAGCAGTGCTACACACAGATCCAGACTTTCTTCACCCTTCGAATGATCACCGCTGGCTGAACCTTCTGGTTCACCAATTGAACGCACAGACTCCGCGTCAGATCGGTATCGAAGTCCACTGACGCCTATAGACTTCCATAGACCAGGGTTTAACATCAGATAAGATCAGTCATAGTCCGAGATGTCTAATAGGTAGAGGCAAGTACTCACTGCCAGGCTGACAAACAAGGAAGTGGAAGACGGTCCCTCTGCAAGGTCCTGTTCGCTCCAACATGGCCAAACGTGGGGTGAAGCCCAGTTCCATGATTCGGAACTTTGGGAGTGCATGTTTGGCCAGTGTAGCTTAACACATCTCCCTGGTAGGAGCTTCTTGTTACTAGTAGTAATGCCAGGAGGTACTAGTAGCGTCCTTGCTAGTAGTGGTCTTGTTCCTTGTGCACCGAACTTGCTTCCTTACCTTGACCGGCGATTCCCCACCTCCGCGCTCGTCACCGCTTGCCCGGCTCCGCTTGCCCGGCTGCCCTCAGGGCCGCGTTGTTCGGCCCGAGGGGCGGGAACCCGCCATGGCACCCTTTGTGTATCAATCGGTGCCGCCCCACGAGGGCGAGGTGCGCACCTCCACTGAGGAGGTCTGGCTACTGAGGAGGCCGTGCACGGCCTTGGCACCGGCGGCGGTGGTGGCTGCTGTGCCACGGTGCAGCGGGTGATTTATGAGATCAATGGGTTAAATGGGAGAAAGAAAATACGTGTGGACAGGGAACATGTTTCTTGAAGATGATTCACTATATTATATTCTTTCCAGAGTCACATCTTTATAATATATATCGTCTCCAGTGGAAGCCTCAGCTAGGTGAAGTGCATGTTGGTTTACTCCTATTGTTTTTGAGATTTGGGGCAAGATTGTATCTTTTGATGTGGCCAATGAGCCATGGACACCTTCCTGGTGACAGGGTCTTCTATCGTTTCGGCTCCTTCTATAATACCTCGGTTGTCCTGCCACTTCGGGTCCGTGCACGTGTTGTGCTGAAGACCGGAGAAGCGTTTCGATTGTTCCTCGACATCAACTGACCTTCATAGATTCTAAGAACCTCTTCGCTGAAATGTGTTCGCATGGCATTTTCGCATGTCATATCTCGCAGCTGGACAATCTGACAGCTATTGCAATCGCTCTTTGACAGAGACTGCCAATGGACCCACCCCTCCGGTCGGTGATACAGTGATTCCCCAATCCGCTTGCGGTTTAATGTATCGAACGAGTCCGCTTTTGTCGGTTTCTTTCCATTATATAAAGACAGAGACTAGTGACTAGAATGCTTACATTTGTCGAAGACCGCAATCAAGGCCGCCTTCCTCTGCATCTTCCTGGCGGGCAGCCCCATCTCTTCAACAGAGTCGCCGCCGCCCGAAGCGATTGCGCGGATGGAGGGCATTAGCAAGGAGTTCAGCATTTTTCAGTTGAGCAACTGGGCTCTCCAGGGATCTGATCTCCAGGGATCGGGTTGGCGGTTGGCGGTTGGTGCACCTACTTACTAGCTTTGGGTTGGCCAACACACATCGGGTTGATGCCTCTGTGACGTGGTGGCTCTCCGGTCGTGGCTGAATTTTCACCTCAGCTCGGAGAGAATTTGCTGGTTCGGAGGTGGATTTCTAGTCTATTATAGTAGTGGGAGGGTTCCCCCATTCTTCGACTTGGACTGAGTGACTCGGCCGTTTTTCTCGTGTTTCGGTTGTCGGTTGCATTCCTGGTGCAATCATTTGCCGATCAATGACACTGGACCAAATGCTGATATCGCCTGTTGTGATCCCTGGAGTACTGTTTTGGCAATCCCAGGAAGGAGTAACATCTGAGGGCGTCAGTCTGTTGACTCGCATAATCTCGACAAAAATGTCCCACAGTCACGCAGATAACTCGAATCGTGCACATGAGGAATCCTTTTTTTTCCATCGTGTTTTCTGCATGCGAGCCAAGGTATGTCCACGTACGAGACGCAGTTTTGCATGGCAGCCTTTCCATGCCTCTGTTGTATTTAAACAGCCTGTTTAGGGGGAGATCCAAGTTTTGTTATCGGCACGTAAAGGCATTGTTTTGGAGGAGTGCGTAAGTGGCGTAGTTTGATATCTGGCAATAGTCACTCGAAAACCATGAGCTATTGTCAAACCTGCCATTGTTTAACTGGGATAGACGCAGAGCAACTCACTAAAATACTCCGGCTATGACACACAGCTCATCCAAAAGTTTCACATCTTTTTGGAGAACACGTGATTTATGGCTCATTCATGTGGGATCAGGATGATCTCGGATTTCTCCCTTAAAGGCTTCACTTCTTTCAGGCCTTTAAAAGGGCAGCTTCCGGTGTCTAGAGTCTAGAGCTTTCATTTCTCAGGAGGTTTGTAGCCAAAGCTTGTCATTTTTGAGATGTGCTTGATGGATCTTCATGGCTTTACCAAGGAGAGGATGTTTGGAGATACGGATCCTTTCCAATTCAAGTGCCCAGTACCTGGGGTGCTCGCTGAAGGCTCCAACATCCATTCCTGTTGTGGAGGAGTCTTGGAGAAACGAAGGAGTGCAGTCTATTCTCTGAGAACCCCTTTGGGAAGCGACTGGGGCCTCGCTCACCAAAGGTCACTTCAGCCAGAGAAGAAGTAGAAGTTGGCGAAAGACCCGTTCCAGTTCTCAGTAGGTTGGTAGCCTGGTAGTACACACTTGGGACATTGTGTACGGAATCTGATCGCCTCAAGCCCTGAAGAAGCCTAAGTGAATGAAACGCCTGGGTAAAACAAGAAGAGTAGGTCGGAAGCCATCGCATCTAGGTTGGAGGCCCCTTTGACTCCAAGGGTTCCACACACACACACACATTGGTCACTGGTGGATTGCAACTCACTTTGACAGTGAAAAGCCGACTTTTGACATTCTCGTTCTTTGTGTTCGTTATACCTCCCGCCGGGGGTTTGGTGCGGGTACTTTGGGAGGAGGAAAGTCTCGTTTCTTCTTAGCTGTTCTTACAATATCTATGTGGATCGCCATGGTCGAATTAGATGGTCCATTTCGCGTGGCCAATGGAGCGGTCAATTATCACCGGCTTTTACAACACTATATAAAGAGCTTCCGAGGGAGGAAATTCCAACGCTTGAGGTGCCATAAGTGTGTTGCAGGATTCTAAGGGCAACGCAATTTGGAACCTTCCAAAAAGCAGAACTTTTGTCCTAGATGTGAGTCTAGTTCTGGGTAGAAACATTGCTGAGTGTGGAGAACTGGTAGCATGAGTGAGATGATGTGTGTGAGCCAATGAGATCAAGGAACGAGCGGCTTCCCATTCATTTTACAGTTGATGGATTGTTTTTGCCAAGCCGCCACTCGCCCTCCGAAAAACACCACCACTGGGCCAGTGAGCTCGCTTAGTCTGCCTCGGAGTCTTCCAAGGCTACAACACCTTGGGCTGGCCCTTCCAATTCTCCGAGTGTCGTCCTTTGGGCTACTGTACCACCTGCTGGGTCGAGAGCTCTCAGGATTGGTGGAACAAAGAAGAACGAGGGTTTTTCTTGTGCGATGTGCATGTTGAACAGCTTTGTTCAAAGATGTGTTGTATGACTCTATGAAAGGGGGCGCACTATAAAATACACCGCGCTCTTGAACATCACTTGTACTGTAATTTTGCATACCTCAAGAGAGGGCGGCACAGCGGCATAGTCTGCGCCTATGGAAGATTTGCTGTTTGGGTTTGATGGGTCTCTCGAGGACCATTTTCGGAAACATGGATAGGAAGCCCTACAATCACCAGGTGGACTCTGATATGCCAACCAATTTTCTCATGGATTTTCGATTCCCATATTCTATCAGGATGATGATGATATGCAAACTTTGCAGACCAACTGCCACCCAGGACGTCTAGTTGACAACTAAATACTTACGTCGCCACATGTATGCTATGAACAGGATGTGTCGGCCGTGCCACCCACTGACGAATAGCGGGCATGAAGAACGGGATCCCATCCTCTGAAGCTGGACGGATGATGCAGCTTTTCTTCAATCATCCACAGGCCAAAAGCCTCTTAGTTCCAGAGAAACCATCCCTCTTTTGTGTGGTGAATCAATTCATTTGGGTGGTGACACTAGCTCCGCCACTGCGTGGTTTTCCCACCGGACCGACCCACACCACATGGTGGATGCACCATCCCACACGAAGCTCGGTAGTCGAGGAGGAGATGCAAAAGCACGAGGGCATCGAGTTTGCAGGAGCCGCCTGGGCGGCCACCATCAGTGTGATGAACAAGGTGCGAGACCCGCGGACTGTGCTCGGCGCGGTTTCTCGCACATCGGTCCATCCTCTTGCGACAACGGTGTGGCTGGAAGGACAGTGATTCATAGGACAATCCATAGACAAGTGATCGGTGGATCCATAGACTCCACTTCCTCTTGGGTTTTGTGGCATCATCTCTGAAACCGCTGCAGTGCATCTATTGGTTGAGGTATTTGATGGACAAGTGGTGTGTGGAGATACCAAGGGTTGCTATGAAGGCGGAGATAAAACCGATAGGTTTCGGGGGGTTCCTTCGGTCCCTTTGGTCCATTTCGGTCCATTCAACTCGTCCGCCATCTCTCGTTGTCATTCAGAGGGCATGCGCCCCTGATCATCTCTGGGACCAAGACCCCCCCCAACTTCCTTGGGATCGATCATCACATCTCGATCATGTTTCTCAGCTTCATACATGTAAAAAGACCGGATTTTCCGGGGGACCCTTTGACCCCCGAAAAGCTCGGACGGACGGTACACGGTGTTTTTCTTCTACTAAAAGCTTGGAGCAGAGGAGTTCGGAAGCGAATATGCCCTGCTGGCAGAGGAAGTCGCCATCATACCCTGATAGCCTGGCCTTAGCCTGGTAGGCATGCAAGTTCCATGATCTACGTCTGTAAGCGCAGTATGGTCATCCACTCTGTACTAGCAACTTTTCAACCCCACTAACTAGCATCTTTAGCACACGAGATGAAGCCTCTTCTTTCGGCTTCACCTCCTTTTGTGCCAAGGCCGATCGGATCCGCTCCGCTTGGGGAAGCCTTTGGGAGGCTGGACAGGGCTGGGTGGCTGGGCACCATCTGGCGGCTGTTTCCACCATGGAAGCCACTTCGAAGTTTCATGCAGAATACAATAGAGCCATCTTTTTGCAGCGTCCAAGAATGCCGTAATCCAACAAATCACCTGAATTGTCAACAGGCTCCTTCCTTCCAAGTGAGTGCCTCATTGTCCACCTCTGGGTCGACCTTCAGCACGTCAGCAGATGTCTGTGTCTGAGAGAAGCAGAAAGATCTGAAAGAGATGGCCATCTTCGCCAAGATGGTAGCCATCGAAGAAGGTAGTCTTCGAAGAAGAGAATGGCTTGCCAAGACCTCCAATCTCAAGCCTTCAGTGGCAGACAGGGACAGGTACTGTTTGATTTATTGTGATCATCTACTACTTTTCGCTGGTGCCGGGTCATTCATGCCGACGTCTCTTGCCAAGATGCCGACCAGTGGGTTCAGAAGAGGCTTCATAATTCGCTTGCCTGGAAAGGGGAGGCTTGAGGCTTCTTTCGAGGATGTTGGGTTCGCCCCCTTCTCTCCACCAGCGTCTCATCAACCGTAGGGCCTGGCCCTAAGCGTGAATTGAGGAAAGATGTTGATGTACCTGCAGCTCCTTGTTTATGCTGCTGGTGGTTTTGAAGGTGAAAGTGCTTGCAGAGAATGGTCTTTGAGGCCAAAGAAATCCTCAGTAAGCAGTGTTCAAAAAGTTCAGAGGGTACCTTTGGGCCCTGCTTCGTCCGAATCCGGTCACTGGCACTCCACCCGGTCGCTACCGAAGCTTCCAGGGCCGCGTGAACCGCAGCTTCCGTGGGCCGACGGTGGACGACATGCACGTGGCCGACCGGCGGATGCACGCGGTGCTGCGCACCGGGCTGGTGGAAGGCGAGCGGTCCGACCGGGAGCGGTCCGGGAGCCTGCCAAAGGCAGAATTCCAGTTTTGAGTTCCGGGGAATTGGACAACTGTCAGCGATTTTGGAATGATCTAATGCAGTATAATGCAAGAACATGGGCTTTTGCCTTTTGTAGCACATCAAGTTCTCCAAGTGTCAAACGTCCAGTGCGGGATCGACTTCACCGGTTCCCTGTTGACCCAGTTGACCATACTTCCTCTCCTCACACCATCTGAGACCAATGGAAAGCTGCACCCCGAAATGGCATGGATGCTCATCCAAGCCATTTCGGGCGGTGTGTGCAGGTTTTGACATTGATGCGCCCACACAGCGATTCTAGGCCAGACCAATGTCTGCCCGGCCATTGATGACTGGGATATTGATATGCTAAATGAGGATCGTGAGAGGCTTGGCAAGTTGACAAGAGTGAGGGGAAATGAGTGGAGGGTGAGCAGAATGATGGTGGGGATAGAGTATACCTCATACCCCCTGGCCCTTAAGCGAACATAACTTGACCTGTACCAAGTAGAGAAATATAGTCCTTCAATGCTTCCTGACAAAGGCCATTTAATTGTGGAATGTAAGCTTTGGAAAAGCCTATTGTCCTGTGATACCAACAGTACGTAAGAAAAACAAAGGCAGAAAAGAATAGATCTTGATCATGATTGATTCCGGAAGACTGAAGTCAAAGCTAAAATGACGACACCATTCACATCCATTGCAGCTCATCGCTGGTCGCCACCATACCATGGCTCCCCCTGTCTGGAAAGAATCATCGACGTCATCACCCGTGTGACAGCACTCGATATCCATCAGTCCCACAAGATACACAAGATACACCGCGACGCAATGCATCGAATGGCCACCTTGACAGACCAATCTCCAAAAAACGCGGTCCGTTGCCTCATTGGTTGCAGGAAGTCTACACGATTCTTTTGGACGATCGTGGTGTCTTTCTTCCGGCCATTCGTTTGTTCTTGGGGTTTTGATTGGTACACTTGCGGAACTCTGTTCCGAGAGAAGAGAAGCGCTGTACATTGGCTTGCGTCCCACTGTCGAGAGTGCTTTTCGAACGTCTTGTACGTGGAAATGCGGATGTCTTTTTCCCCGTCAGCCACCCAGCCACTCAAGATTATACTCTTACTACATATTTTGTGCCCAAAGGAAGACTACAGAAGAGGACCGCCCTGGCTGTGGCCCGGCCAAATCGCATACAAGGCCACTGCAGTAACAAGATGTAACAAGTACAATCCAGCGATACATCGATCAATGACCTACAGTAGATTTGTTGAATTTCCCCGGTCAGGACTGGCAAAACCAGGTCAGAGCAGGCGCCCTTTTTGAACATAGGGTTTTTGTCAGAAGCCAGAAGGGGACACGACTTTTCTTCATCAAGCCCAATCCGTATGTTGCGATTTGTGAGGACGTTGCCACGAAGGAGTCAGGCGTTTTGGTGTTGGGCCCAAATCCGTGGCTAGCTGGATTGCTCAGGAACATCCACGCGCGTGTTTATAAGTCGGCCCATGCGAAGCTGGCGATTGTTGCCTTCCGCGGGACGCAGTGACTGGCCCAAACATGTGGCAGGGAGCAGGGTTGGTATCAAGACACGCCGAGAACCCCCCCGGAGGCCCTGGATGATGAAGCAACTGCAAAGTGGGTTTGTGTGACTTGTGCTACCTTTCACTTTAGCTAAGTCAGGACACTTTAGCACTCTGAACTTGCACAAGGCTTCCTTGCAACATCACCTAGCTTTCTGTTGGGACGGTAGGTGTGGATGTTCATGCCACAAATGATTCAAATTAGACTCTAGCTTCTAGAAATTCACCCAGCTAAAGGATGCTAAAAGCACCAGAGAGGGGGATGAGATACCATGGATCCCGGCCCTTCGACGTCCGATACAAGGCGCTCCCATACAGCGACACCGACTCCGCCGTAGACCGGTCTCCAGCTGGGTCCACTCGCTACAAAGCTGACGTGGCGACCGAAGCATATGAACCCGACTGCGCCCTAGTTAGGCAGAGTCACAACTAACTCCCTTGCTGCAATTGTAGCAAGACTTCCGTCAAGCATCAAGGCCCTTGTCCCGGAGTCTGTGTTGCAAGTTGCATGTAGGAGATTTCAAACACATACCGTCACAGTTCATACACCCATGCACAATATACTAGACACCGGCACACGACCGAGAAACCGAAGCCAACGGCGATCTACTGGAGGATGGCGATACTTCTGGTTTCATTACCTCTCCTGGCTCTGACGGTCCAAGCTCAGGTTTGAGTCAATGAAGAACTGGCACGTGGATGCAGACATCCAGCGGATTCCCATGACGCTTTTTCCGTTCTTTGAGGGGCACCAGGGGGTTCGGGTTTCTGCAAGCTCAAGCGTTTCACTTCAGTGCATTCTCAGGGTTTCGTTTCTGCGATTTCCTGATTTTGAGGGCTCAATTCACCGGCCAAGTTGGGGTGCTTTTCGCTCAACATGTGGGTCTTTGGGCAGTTACCAGGATGACTACACTCCCGCTCACACCCCAAAAATGGAAGTGGCAAACATTTCGTCCGACTCACTACGACATACTTCACCTCAACCACCGGTTGTCCACTTCCTTCGTTTTCGTTCGATTTCGTTCCGCTCCGACGAAAATCTCCAATCTTTGACCGAGACATTGAGGAGCTCCGACAGTCTGGACGGCAACCATTTTGGACGACACTCAATGTCAAAGGTCTGTTCGCCCTTGGAAGCTCCGTCAGTGTCCGCCCCGAAGTCACATTCTGGGTGATAGACTTGAGCAGCCTTCCAAAGATCCTATTTCAAGCTATTCCTCGTCAAGCAATCCACCAGTCAAATCGCTTTCCAGGGGTTTGTGATCTCGCTTTGATGCCCTCAGCCCCTAAACAGCATCAGGACCTGCTTTTACATAAGACCTTTTTGGATATTTTTGATCAATGAGTCAATGGTAAACTGGTATCTATATAGCTTGTTTTGGTGCGCACTCCTGTCGATGACTGAGTTCAGTGTTGATGCCAGAGGATATGGTCTTGAGTTTGCCCTCTCCTTCATTGCCAAACAAGAATCATATTTGCTCAATCACTGGCCAACTCTGTTGAAAACGGTGCGCACTTGGCTTGACACGCTCTTTCTCTTGAGAACCCTTCGGATTCGTTGGGGAATCTTGGGGATTTGTCCCGATTTTGGAAGCATTTCAGCGGGTTTGGAAGGTTTGGACAGTTGAAGTCATGGGGATCTGGTTCCGGGTGTTTCCCCCCGAAGACTAAAGACCATGCTAGCATGGGATCCATGAACATTGACTGTATGCCACTATTCCGCTTTTTGTTGGTTTGGTGTTTACCAGGCTCTGGACGTTTCCACGGTCCAGCCACGCAAACTTTTTGCTTTCGGGTCCCTCCGGGTGTGACCGAAAGGAGCACTTCAGGGTCCGCGTTTTGCCGCACTCCCCACTGCTGCACTGCTGCGCTCCAGGAAGCTGCCAAACGGCAATGTGACCTTTGTACATGAAGGCAGGAAGAGCTCAACCAGCAGGGCATGCGGTGCCATGGAACGGACCGAACGGGAGAACGGGGCTGGTATTGGTGACCCATCGACAAGTAAGCAAGCTTGCTGGTCAACGCCTTTGCGTCCAGAGAGTATTGATTGACTACACCTGTCCTGAAGGTTGACGATCGTGTTTCTTTGTGCTTTGTCCACAGCTGTTATCGTAGCCAATTTCCACAAGCCACAAGTTATCTACGAAGCATTGAATTTGTTGTGAAGCATACTGCAGGCTCAAATTAAGAAAAATGAAGCCCACCGAAGTCTGGTGGAGGAAAGCCATGGGAAAGCTGTTTGCCCCAACCCTCATTAGGTTTATGAGAAAGACTGTCATCTTGGCCCCTGCTGTTTCTTGTTCTCTCTTGAAACAATCAATAACTCTTGCAGAAAAGTAGCGCTTGACGCCTCCAAACCGCATTGTTCGGAATCGAAGGTGGTTTTCACCAAACGTCAGCCAGTGGTGAGTTGTTTGTGGAAGTCAAGTCGTCTGAAAGTGGTTTCTCGAAGTCATGCGGCAAGAAAGACTCAAACTTGGGACGCCGTTGTCGGCCCGTTTGGTTCTTTGGCTCGAAGCAACGGTGAGTCAAAATTGGACCCGGCCCAACCCCAAACAATAGGTTGACCCGGTTCACCCCTGGTAGTCATTCAGGCATGTGTTTTCAGTTCTGGATTAGTGGTTTTTAGGTCCCACAGCTGCCCGGGCCAGGCTTCCTGAACGCGTTGAACCACGTCCTTCCACACGTGAAGCGCTGGGTCGACGGTTACATCCTGGGCTCCTCGGCCTATTTGGAAGCATGACTTTTTCTCCGCAGCAAAATGGGAGACCTTGAAGGTTGAAACCGCCTGGCTTCCTTTGCAAGGAAGTAAAGCAAGACTCATCAGTTGGAAAGGTCTCCCCACTCTGAGACACTACGTGGTGGCATGTTCAGGGTTGATTTGGACTACGGTTTTACTCACTGTATCAAATATCGAACACCGATCTACGCGGATGTTGAACTCAAGGCTTCTACCGTCCAGCATCGTGCTCAAGTTCAGAGGGGAAGAGTTGTCTACCGCATCATCTCAACACTACAGACCTTCTATCACCACGGAGTGTTGACTGGTCTAACTTCTCCAGTTTCTTCCACCTTCCCCAGGACTTGCATGCTCCCGTGTGTGTTGCATCGCATGTGCTTCAGTCACCGCTCGTGTTGTGTTTTGTGCGACGGGCTCTTCACCCAGGGCTCTTCAGCGCGGTGCCGAGCGATTGGAATCTGATCTTCACGGGCCACAGCTTGGGCGGGGCCTTGGCCTTGCTGGCGGCCACCAAGGTGCGACCGGTCAAGCCCGGTCCAACGGAGACGCGATGTCTATGAATAACCCACCCCTTTTGAACTGGAAGAGACTCTTCATATGGGGGGTATATTGTTCAAGAGTCTACATTAAACAGGAAACGCTTCCCCTCTTCGGGATGCTTGGGACGCTTTTTGTGCATTTTGGCCCGGGGTTCAGCGTTGGTTGTGGTTGAGTGAGGACGTGGTGGTTGAGTGCAGATTTCTCCTCAACCTCAGGTTTTTTTCTTGCTTGTTGGTTCCGAAGGATTCAACAGCCACCGTACTGAGAGTCTTCAATTATTAATAAGAAAATAATAAGACTTGGTATGAGAACTGGGCTGTCTATGGCCTGAACTGAAGCGCTCTCCCGCCCATGTTGGGGATGCTCAACAAGAAGACACGCAATTCCCGACATGTGGTTCCAGTCGAAGTCGTGAAGAACATCCTTGCCTTCTCCAGACCCATGGTACCTGGTGGTGGAACCATGTGCTTTTCAAGGCAAACCCAGGTGCTAAGCGGTGGGAAGTACAAATTACTGCTACGACGGAGATCTCCCAGAGTTCTTTTTCGAGAATGATGACCATGTCCGAACACGCCGTTCCGTCTTTCTCCGCGCAACGAGCGACCGGCACGAGACGAGGCCTTTGCGGAGGACTGGCCACGGAAGTGCCTGGGCTCGGATGCGAAAGCGGCAAAGGAATCCATGACATGGCATCTTTTTACAAGAAACACTCAATTTTGGTTCTTACCACTCTTTGCAGTGGGTCTTGTGGGGGAGTTTGAGGTTGGATTTCTTCCTTCAACATCCTGGAAAAACATCAGCGGGCTGTTCCGGCCCACGCTTCCCCAATGGCAGGCCCACCCTGGCGTCCCCACGAGTCCGCAGAAAGGATGAGGATACACGCAGACAGAGAAACGACACCGAAGCACAGAAAGATTGCTTGTAGGATCTTGTAGGTGCAGCGTGATTGACAGCTGTGTGCCATGACCTCCACCAAGTGGACTTCAAACCACCAGCAGACGCCATCTCCAATTGCTCGGCCGTGATTTTGTTTCCAAAAGTATTTTGTGGTCGACATCAACAATTGCCAATGTCTTTAGTTTTGCAACTCCATAAAACTCACTGCCAGCCAACTGCTGCCCCCCTTTGCGCCGCTTGCAGCCGACTCGTCGCGTCGCATCTCGTCTCGGCCGAGGCCCGAGGCCACCATTGCCTTCGGCGTGCCGCGGGTGGCGGACGCTGCGCTGGACGACTGGTGGCAAGCACAGCAGCTTTGCGGAGCCTTGGGAGGGTCTGAAACGTCCTTCGGTTTTTCGTCGGGAGTTTTTTGGGGTCATTTTTTCATTTGATATGAGGGAAGTAGGGCGAAAGAAGCCATGTGAAACTCTTGGATCTCCTGTTCTGAACAGCGAAGCAAAAGGGGTAACTCGTTTGCAGAGCGAACCTTCCAGGGATAGGATGTACCCATGGTTTTTTCGACTCGTTCAGGATCTTTTCCTCTATAGACTGCAGAACATCTCCTTAGCGAAAGACTCCTTAGCCCATGGGCATTCGATCCGCGCAAGGAAAGCTGATTCGCGTGAACACCTACAATGACGTGGTGCATGCCGCCTGACATGTGGATACTCCTTGGTTGCTGCGGGAACCTTTTTGGAATGCAGGCGGCAGGCGCATGCAGGTGGCAGGTGAAGCAGGTGGCGTGTGTTTCTTTCATGTGAGACCCCACAACCAAGCAATCGTCGGGCCCAGCGAGCTGGTCATCACTTTGGCAATTCTCCTGTCCAAATTGAATGAACCATACTGAAGGTAGTCCCTATCCAACACATGGAAGTGGATAGCATGGTTTGGGTGAATCCTGTCGCCTAGGTGATGCCCTTCCACAAGATGTGGAGCGCATGGACTGCCGTCAGCGATGTTTACGACTGTGCCACTGGGTCACAGAGTGTTCCCCCGCGTTCGGGTCACTTCGTCACAGGTTTCTGTGGTCGCATGGTAATGGATCAACAAAACATATGAACGGGCTGCAGTGAACTTGCAGTCAAACTTGACAGCAAACGACTCCCCAAATGTTTGCAATAACGTTAGATGTACTAGTTTGGCGCCAAAACGTTTGTTTCAACTGCCTTTGTTTCCTGTTTGCAAAAGAAACGTTGCTTGACACACTGATAGCAACCATCGACATGGTAGTGGGAAAATGTTAGTTTCAGGGTGGAAGCAGAAGTCTTTCCAGGTCGCTGTTCGTCAGATTGGGATGGCAATTGACTGCCCAGCTGATCCGATTGAGCTGGGGCCCGTGCTGATCTTCGTTTCAGGGGTGACAAGTATGAGGTTAGTCTTTGGGCTCAGAAACAAAGCGCTTGTGGAGTGGATTTGTTTCCCTCCAGACACCAAAAAAAAACCTCTTTCAAAACTATAGTTTCAATCTCTAGCACTCTAGGAAACATTTTTTAAAACAGAGATTAGTTTGGTTTCTTTTGGTTCAGATGTGCTGGTAGCCCTGCTGTGCTTTGCTGACTTGCTCTCTGTCGCTGTGGGCTGCTGGCCGAACCTCCACAGCGTGCTTTGCTGTGCAGCGAGAGTTGCGGTGCGTTCGGCGCCCATTCACCAGTTCGCCGCAGGCTTGTGCCGCAGGTGCATGATGTGCCCAGCCCAGCCGTACTTTGCGTTTGACAAGCACCTAGTGCCACGGTGCCTGGCCTAGTGCCTGGTTGGCTCGACATGTCTTTCTTGTACCAAAGTCTTTGGCTCCGAAGTTTCGTCAGCTTTTGGAAGATTCCGGACTGCAGGCAGACGACTTGCTATGTGCTTTGCTGAGTTCATCCACTGCCAACGCTACCAGCTTTGGATCCCCTGTACCATTGCTTGCTTGGATGCAGTGCTTCCCACAAGCCACAAGCCAGAGCAAGCTGGAATCCGGGTCGCACTTGCTTCTCTACATCAATTGGTGGTGCTTGCGGCTCTGGGAGGCTCTCATGTACTCGGACGAGTGGTAACGGTCCATGGACTCCGACTGGAGCAAGGCAAACGTTGGCGGAGAAGGACGCGCAACCCTTGGGTTTTAAAGGTTGTTTTTTTTCCTGTTCATGGACACCTTTGGGTTGCGGAAATCTTCGATTCTCAGCCCGGAAACACACCGTTTTTCCGAGTTTGGTGTGTTTCTTCCCCCCCACCGCCCAACCACCATTGGAAAACCATGGAGAACCAACATGTCAAGCAAATGTTTCCCTGCCCAAGGCAAACGTTCAACGCTTATTCTTACGTCCAATGTTCGTCAATGTTTACCACCACTTAGGAAACAAGCCAAGAGAACTGAGCATGTGTGTGTGTATATATACACAAACATATAATATATGCAATAGCGGGATCGGCTGGAATTGTTCCGAACGAGTCAATGACCTCAGATTCTGAGAGCAACCATCTCCGCTGAGAGAGAGACCGGTAATTTCCTGCTTCTTTGTTTTTGCCAATCCAACCTTCCTTCACCAGAGTATTTTCCTTTGATCAACCCAAAGTCTTTTGTGCCCTGAACATCCTTTGAGAGGATTGTTGCATTGTCGCTGCGAACCGTCGCTGGGCGAACCCCTCACCGAGGTGACGTCGCCCCTGAACTGCCTCAGCCCATCCGCGAACCTAGGCGACCCGGATGCGAACCGAGGGCCGTTCTTTGAGAGTGTAAGAGGAACGTGGGAAACAGTAGGATCTGTACATATGGTTGTGGCTCACAAAGAGGTCGCCATCCAAGACCTTCCTGTAAAGGGAGAGTAGAACCAACACCTGGGGGACATCAACATCCGTATGTATACATAAGCAACAGTCATATGTCATATATATATAATACACACAATATTATATTGATCATATGAGTGGTTGCTTCAGGCCACTCGTTGACAGATGAATCCTGGAAATTCCCTGAGAGGATCAAATGAGAAGTGCAACTGGTAACATACTAACACACACACACACATTGGGGATAAAGCAAGTGCGGTCATAATGCGACTTGCCCAACGCCAAAGTGAAAGAATTGTCTGAGTAAACCCGGTAGTATGCAACGTGGTCCAAGAATTTGTGTTTCTAATAGCTTCTTGCTCCCAGTAGTAAGGCCAGGAGCCCCGTTCGTAGCTTCTTGCTCCGTTCGTAGCGATGCCCTTTGCTCCGCTCTCTTCGTCTATGGAGAACCATCGGTCGCCTGGCCGGGCCAGCTCAGCTCCGTCCCAGGACGTTCGAACGTCGATCGTTCGATGCGTCCTTTTCGTCGGTTCGCTTCGCTCAGCCAAGCACTCTCTTTCTGTTCAAAGCGAAGCCAAGAAAGAGGTCTTCTTCTGAGAAGCAAGGACCAGGTCGTGGGAAACTCTCCGTTCAGGTACGGAATGGTACGGAGAGTGAGTGTCCTTCCAATTTCAGTCGTCAATGCAAGCCTCTTTGTTGGGCTGTTTTTTTGCATGAACAACCAACTACAAACAGAAAAAGTCACAGAAAAGCCAAAAGCCCCCCCTCTGATTCTAAAGGTTACACACGCACACATCCAATTTTCGTAACCCCAGAAAAAAGTCTCACTGGATCACTGTTGTTTCGGGTTTTCTTCCTTCCATCAACAGCTCGGCGTCCACGGGCCCGGCTGATCAACAGCTCAGCGCTGAGCGGTCTCCGCTGACTTGCTGAGGATCGGATGCGTCGCAGGTGGAAATTAGCAACCAATGGGCTCACGTCTGTCCACAAAGCGAGATTCTGATCCCGAGCCGTGTGAAAGGTGGCCTGGCGAGGAGGGAAAGGAATGCAGAAACTCATGAGTATCATGAATCGATGTTCAGATTGGTCCAGAGTCCAGAGACTGGTCTCAATGCGAATCCGATTGGAATACAGTATGTACGACTGAACGAGATCAATTTTGATAGTTGCATCCACAATGACCTTGACAAATTCTCACAGGTTGGCTTAAGATGAAGATTCACTTCCACTTCGCCAGTCCCCGTGAGATGAGGAGTTAAGATTGAGATTGAGATGACATACCTCCTCAATGCAACCTTGAACAAATAAACTTCGAACCACGCAAATCTCTCAGCGTGTTCCCTCTGCTAGCCAATTCTTTCAGTCTCAAAGTGTCAAAGTGTTTATTCTTTGCCAGTTTTCCTCTTGTAGAGCACCTGATTCAACAGCACCTTGGGAACCTTGGAAGGCTGCAGAAGTTTCGGAATGTGGAAAGCCACCCAAATCCAAGGGGGGGCCACAGCCAACCCACCGAAATCCAGTGGAGGTATCAACCAACAGCTGGAAGAGATGTCTCCCTTCGGCGGTGTGCTGGCGCACTTGAATGAGAACTGCCTCTACGGTGCGAGCGAGTCGCGGTTCTCCCGCGCGCTTTTTCGGCGACGCTTTTTCGCCGTTGAGTTTGTTCGGTGCGTGAAGAGAGGGACGCGCGTCCCATGCCAAAAAACATGTTGAAAAACAGTGAAACACTACAGGAGAGGTCAAATTCCTACACGAATTGTTCTTGGTGAACTCCAGTTTGTTTCACTGAGGCTGATGTTTTTGAGAAACTCATTTTTCATTTCCATTACAGCTTTGGGGGTAGGGTACAAACAGGGGTAATGACCTGGATGGATGGTTTACAGATTGCAGACCGAGCAAGACATCCGAGCTTTGTGGCATGGTTTGGGGGTCACATTTGTCCCAAAGCCTTGGCCGAGGCTGGCCAACCAGGTTTCATGGCAGTTTGTTTAACTGAAAAGACTGCTATCCTTCCTTGGGAGTGTTCGTGGTTTTCTGCGGGCAGGCTATATCTATGCAGTGCTGCACAGCAATATCACCTCGCTGGATAGATATTGCAACTTGTCGCCCGATGTGTGCAATGTGTCTCATGTGGGCATTGAATCATAGAATTGGATTGCAGGAGAAAAGACGAGCGACCCCAGTCTGAGATAAGTCGGGCTTACCGGTCAGTCTGTTTCGGGGCTTCTTCAGCGGCACCCTTTCCAAGCAACTGGCAAAAACATCGAAATAGATAAACACGAGGCAGTCTGCATCTTTTTGGGCCAAGACAATCCAATTTCTGAAAGATGAATTCAAGTCCATGGCGGGTGAGCTCACCCCTTTCGGCCGGACCTGTTGCAGTGTAGTGATCTTGGGGGATCTCTGTTTTGTGATTCCCCTGTAAATAGATGAGTGACCTGAAAAGCCTGGTCGGCCATGAGCCCCTTCTTTCCAAGCCAATAGGATCTCCAAGAGTTGCCACTTCGGAAGCTCAAAGGGGATACACGGCCCAAGGGCGAAGGGCACTCAGAGGCGATCTGCGAAAAGCAGAGGCCACCGTTCAATGAACCACGGCGCGTGGACGCCCTGCGGCAGGGCGCCCCTGCCGCAGGGTGAAAAGGCCGCAGCAAAAGGGTGAGGTGTGGAACAATTGCTTTTCAACATGTTTGATTGAACAATTGATTGATGAAACACATCTGATTCTTGAATAAAACCATTTGATTGATGACAGTTTTCAATTTTTGGGGCACTCCAAATGGCCAGCTTAGTACAGTAGTTTAAAATTTCATCAACACCACTGCGTGTTTCCAGAGATACAACCATTACAACCCATCTCCCTCCGATCACTGCAAGAACTCAAGGTGGCAGGCAGGTCATGGAAGACATCTTCGCAGTTTCTTCCATGACCGATGGATGAAAGGGCGACGTACTGGTGGAGGAAACCACCTCGAATTAGGAAAAGACCAAGCTCGACCGTATTTTCGCTTCGCCGGAATTGTCGGATGGCAAGGGGTTGTCAAGGGGCGAAAAGGGGTCTTGGTGGTTCTTTTTGGTCCTTTTGTGGTGGTGGAACGACGGAACCCCCCCAAGCCCCAAGCGATGTGAACGCCGGCGGTTCGGCGGGTCGCTCCTTCCGTGCCAGGCGAAAAGGACGGGACGTCTGAAAAGGCGGTCCGGACCGGTTCTGCCTGACATGAAAAAGTGTTTGTTTTGAAGTGGTTGAAGTGGCTGTCTTGAAGGTTTATCATGATTCAAGATATATATAATTCAATCTTTTTTTTGAACACTAGGATGAGTCGGATGAGTGAAAGACTGAAAGACACACCCTGCGAAAGATCGGAGTGAAGGTGCCGGGTGCCTTGGAGTCTTTAAGACTAAATGGAGAAGACCGTGTTTTTCTACACCCAGCCATGGGCAGTTGGCATCTTCACATCTTCAATGCTCAAACTTCTTATGTCTATCTATGTCACATACATTTTGATGGCTGTTCACAGAGCAGGTGTGCCAGTCATGCTGGTCGTCTCTATTGTCCAACGCCTATGTCCAAATAATGTTGAGCAGATCCAGTGACGCAGCCGAGCGGTTCCAGCACAAAGCGTTTTTTGGCGCGCGCGCGCACGCGCGTGGCCGTGGCGTCGCGTTTCATGCAGCGCGCCTTCGACAAGTGGGAGTGGATCTGTGCGGCTTGGCGCATGCGGAGGGTGATGGGCTTTCGGTTCCTTGGGGTTTGGGAGGGTTGTGTCAGGAGTTTGGTGAAGTGCTGGAAAGTGGGACAAGAAAACTCGGAGGATGAATTTGGTGTAAGGTCAGATTTTGACAGCTGGAAGTGGTGAGGGCCTCTGCGATAGGAGAGAAAGACCAACCAAAAGCTGTGGAGGGAAAGCCACTTCCCCGAAGCCCCTAAGACACTGTCGCCTCCAAGGCGGATCCTTTGGTGTCCTTGGTCGTCCACCAGACACTGTCGCTGTGGAATGCCACGTGTCTTGGCGTCGGTGGGGCCTTGGGAGGTGAAGAAGATGCACACTCCAAACGTAGATAGCTTCTTTTGGGGGTCATCCGGGTGAATCAACATGTTCTACAAACGGTGTGCTTGTGATGGTGACGGACCGTCGCACAAGTTCTGAATGTGCTTTGGTCTCAAGTCGCAAAGATGTCGTGGTTTCATTCCTGCAATGAAGTGCACGGAAAAGGAACACAGGCTATTTGAAGTGGGAAGTGGCCTGCCTCTCTCAGAGTTTCAACCCCACACCTCTTTTCTTCGACGCTCAGTAATTTATCACCTCAATCTCCAACCTTGCCAATGCTTCGATTTGCCGATCGGGGGCCGTTGGGTGCATTTCATGTGGAAGATTCTTCGCCCCCTCAAAGCAACAAACATCCCGCACGACGTCACCGAATCCTCCGCCTGGACCGAGCTTTTCGCTCCGAACTCAGGCAGTCTCTGGCGCCTTGGAGGTCCAGCGTGGGAGGTCCAGCGCCCGAAGACGGAGAAGATGTGTTTTGGGAGAGATGCTGTGTTGGTGGCAAAAGGACTTTTGCCGAGAACACGGTCGAGGAGGGTCGATGCGGGCAGGACGAAGTCTGAGCTCTGCGACAAAGGCCGCATGGTTCGTAGCCGGAGGTAGCTGGAGCTCCTCCGTTTGAGTTCTCAACATTGGAGCTTTAGCCAGCGCAAGTACAAGATGTTCGTTTACGTGTCTTGCGATCTCGGGTCTTTGATGGCCTGGAAACGCACTGGGACCACTCGTGGTTGAGGGCACGAATGGCTTGCAAGGCAGTTATCAGATTAATTTAGACGCTCCAACTCCATCTTCTCCACAGATCCCATAGGCCTGGGTGCCTTTGAAGCGGCTCAACATTGCAACGTTGCGCGTTCCGAACAGCTCCAACTCGAAGGACGAGTGCTGGACGCTCCGCGACCGCGTTTCGGAACGGCGGAACGGAGTCGATCCATGTGGATGTCTGGGGCCCCATGTGCGACTGGAATTTGACTCGAATGTCATTTGACTCGAATTTGACTGATGCAACTGATGTCGTTTTACCATTTGACTGATGCAAGATCAGGGACACCTGGACCTTCGAGCTTCGAGCGAGATGTTCTTCCTTTTTTTCAGACTCGCGCCGTTCTTTGAAGTCACAAGATCTTGCACGAGATGGCTGGACAAGACTGACAGTTGTCCACACGTCAAACACTTGGAAAAATATGTACATGCAGGTACTTTTGGCAAACCCAGTAAGTCTGAAGGACAAGTTAAACTTTAATCTGAGCACTGTTATCAGGAACACCATTCACTTGAACAGTTTTAATGGGGCATGGTCATGGTTCACTTAAAGTGCATGATTCCCAGACCCACCTGGGTTCTCTAAGCTTTCCACAAGAGATCCAAACCAAGCATCACAGCGGCAAGCACCACAGCCACTGCAGCTGCACATGCATGCCTTGGAGCCTTGACTAGAGTCACTGGCTGGCCAAAATGCACGAGATGCTCACAAGTTTGTGAACAAACAATTTTACGGCTTTTGGACGGCGTGTTCAGGACCTTGTTCACGCCCTATTCATGGTTTTCGGTTCGCGCTGCAATCTCGCTCAATCCCTTGAACTATATGCTGGTACTATTGTCCGAGACTTTAAACAATAGCTGCATCGCACTGCCACTATGCTTTGGGATCTAGAAAAACCATACAGGTGCAAATCTGGTTGAGTGACACCTCGACCTGGAACTTCGGCCTCTCCCCGTCGACAAACGCGACAAGGTACATGTGCCTAGGGACCCTAGGACAAGTTCATCTTGGAACATTGACCTGAGAAACATCGGCTGTGCATGGCTTCTCATGGCTTCCCGTGGCTTCGCATTTGCAGGGTACCCCTTAGTTTGACCAGCAACTTCCAGCTGCAATGATTGACATACCAAAAAGGCGTCCCAAACAATAATGTGGAAAAAGGTGACCACAAGCACTGGAGGCTCACCTTTGCCGTTTTGCCAGTCCCATGCGGGCAGACACGGTTCATGCGGAATGACTCCATCCCCTTGGCGGGAGGACGCTGCCGTAAGCCACGCGCAATTTCGGCATCTGGCAGGAGGGCCCCTGAAGAGGGCAGACAGAAGCATGTCAGCTTGAGCCGTTGGTCTGAGGCAACGGCTATGTCTACGGCTATGAGAAAAAGCTTGTTTTGCTGGCGAATCTTGGGTGGCAGCCGGTGTTTTTGCATGCAGCCGGTGTTTTTCTGCTTGAGTCACGGCTGCTGTGATCGATGCAGTCCCCAGTCTGTTGAAACCAAGCGAGAGCTGTGCCTGCTGCCCTAAGTGACAGCTGTGGGGATATGGCGCTGGTATGTGACGGCTTGTTTTGCCTCAGATAGCTTGCAGGTCTTGTGGAGAGGTCAAAGTCGCAGATCAGTGCTGCACGAACATGATTTCTTCGACCGCATGTTTTACAAAGCTTGGCTGCTAACGGTCAGTGACCAACCGCAACTCTTGGCGCTTGGGCGATGAGTTCGTTAGTTCTTCGCACAGAATAGGGCCAGTGGCCTCCTGCAGATGACTTGCTGAATCGAAGACTGCTAGTGGACTTCATTCAACCTCTGAACTTCAGACTTTTCTCTGAGCTTCAGACCGTTACTGTACTTTTTGCTCCCAACTAAAAACTTTCAGGACCACATGTGTTCAGCTTGTGCCTTCATCTTAGAGCAATAATATAGCAACGGGCCGCATGGGAGTCCACGACTCTTTTTCACATGAATGAAGAGAAGGACCTTTTGGCTTCAAAGCAAAGAAGTAAGTCCACTTCATTTGGCCAGAAAACCATTTTGGACTTGAATCTTCCAGGGGGAATGTGTTTCCATGTCATGCCCAAGAAGTGTTCCCTTCATCTAGGTCACCGAGGTCATCCCCTTCAACAGCTTTCCAGTACGACCGAAGCTTCCCAGGTCTTTTGGAACTGCGAAGCGCCGAACGTTTTGGGCAAATCCTTGGCATCCAAAACGTCGCCCTGAACTTGTTCAAAGAAATAGAGATGTTCAACTTGAGAATTCGTCTTAAAATGGCAGCGCTAACTGACTTGAGTGCGTTCCTTCCGAAAGGATGTGTCTGTGTGTGTGTGTTGGGCCCGAGCAAAGTTGCGCACGTACAGCAGGGCCAATGAAAACACACGTTTGGACAACAGGTATAATTACTGTAAGTCGATACTGATAGATGCGTTGCCTTAGGCACAT